TTTACAGAGAGGAAGGGAGAAGGATAGAGAGTTAGAAACATTGATGAGAGAGAAACATCGATCAGCTGCCTCCTGCACACTCCCTACTGGGGATGTGCCCACAACCAAGATACATGCCATTGACCAGAATCGAACCTGGGACCCTTGAGTCTGCAGGCTGATGCTCTATCTACTGGGCCAAACCAGTTAGGGCATAAGTATACCTTCTTTAGAGAAATGTCTATTTAAATTCTTCATTCATTTTCAAATTGGGTCTTTTTATTGTTGAGTTGTAACTTATATATTCTTTATATCTTTATATATTCTGGATACTAGATCCTTATCAAATGTGTGATTTGCAAATATCCCATTCTGTGGGTTGTCTTTGTGTGTGTGTGTGTGTGTGTGTGTGTGTGTGTGTTAGGTTTTGGGGTTTTCTTAGAATATATTTTTTATTTCAGAGAGGAGAGGAGAAATAGAGAGAGAGAAATATCAATGATGAGAGAGAATCATGTATTGGCTGCCTCCTGCATGCCCCCTCCTGGGGATCGAGCCTGCAACCTAGGCATGTGCCCTTGATGGGAATTGAACCCAGGACCCTTCAGTCCACAGTCCAACGCTCTATCCACTGAGCCACATTGGCTAGGGCAAGTGTTAGGTTTTTTTAATTGAATTTATTGGGGTGACATTGGTTAATAAAACCATACAAGTTTCAAGAGTACAACTCAATAACACATCATCTGCATTCTGCATCGTGCACTCACCGCCCAGAGTAAAGTCTCCTTCCAGCCCCATTCTGTGGGTTGTCTTTTCTTCTCTTGATAGTGTTCTTTGATGCACAAGAATTTTTAATTTTTACGAAGTCCAATTTATAAACATTTTCTTTGGTTGCTTGTGCTTTTGGTGTTATATCCAAGTAATGATTGCCAGACCCAAAGTCATAAAGATTCACACCTATGGTTTTTGTTTTTTAATTTTATTTTCTTGTTTAAAGTATTACAAATAGTAGTACACATGCAGGAGACTCAGTTTAGTTTGGTCCTGGGATTTTGTTGGTTGGGAGTTCTTATTACTGCTTAAATTTTGTTTCTAGAACATATGTCTCCTTTTTCCCCAATTGACTGCCCCTGCCCCCCAGCCATTCCCATCCCGGGCAAGCCCCCACCGCCCCAGTGTCTGTGTCCATTGGTTATGCTCCTATGCATGCATACAAGTCCTTTGGTTGCTCTCTAACTCCCGCTCTCCCCTAGCATTTGTCTCTGGATCTATTCTTGTTCATCAAACTATGTTAATCATTATATCCCGCATATGAGTGAGATCATGTGATATTTATCTTTCTCGGACTGGCTTATTTCACTTATCATAATGCACTCCAGTTCCATCCATGCTGTTGCAAGTGATAAAAGTTCCTTCTTTTTTTATAGTGGCATAGTATTCCATTGTGTAGCTGTACCACAGTTTCCTAATCCACTCATCTGCTGATGGGCACTTAGGCTGTCTCCAAATCTTGGTTATTGTAAATTGTGCTGCTATGAACATAGAGGTGCATATATCGTTTCTGATTGGTGTTTCTGTTTTCTTGGGATATATTCCTAGAAGTGGTATTTCTGGGTCAAATGGCAGTTCCATTTTTAAATTTTGGAGGAAACTCCATACTGTTCTCCACGATGGCTGCACCAGTCTGCATTCCCACCAGCAGTGAAGGAGGGTTCCTTTTTCTCCGCATCCTCTTCAGCACTTGTCGTTTGTTGATTTGTTGATGGCAGCCATTCTGACAGGTGTGAGGTGGTACCTCATTGTTGTTTTTATTTGCAGCTCTTAGATGATTCATGACTTTGAGCATGTTTTCATCTGCCTCTTGGCTTTCTGAATGTCCTCTTTCAAAAAGTGTCTATTTAGGTCCTCACACCTATGTTTTCTTCTAAGAGTTTAATGTGGCTTTATCCTGAGGACAGTAGTGAGCCACAGAGGGCAGTGAGCAGAGGCAGGAGGTTATCTGAGTTACATTTTGGTGACACTCCCTCTGGTTGTGTGAGGAAAAAGCCTGGAGCAGAGCTGAGGGCAGGATAGTGGGAGAGAAGTATTTGGCTACTGGACGCATCTGGGTGAGCAATAACGGAGGACTGGGCTAGGCTGTGGCAGTGAAGGTGAAAGGGAGGGAATGGATTGAGAGCGGCTTCTAGACTCAGGCTCATCTCTCCCACTCCCAGAATGGACCCTGGTCGACCCTCCTTGGCTGACAGCTTCTACGCCATTTCCTATCTGTACTATGGTGCCCTGGGCACACTGAGCACCGTGCTATGTGGAGCCCTCATCAGCTACCTGACGGGTAAGCAGGGCTTATGGCTTCCTCAGAGGCACCCTGTCCATCCCTCTGTCTCCAGGACCCACTGGGCAGGAAGAAGAGGAAGGAAGCCCCCAGTGGCCAAGCAGCCACTATATACTGGACACATCTGCACCCTTTATGCTGTGTCACCTTCAGGACCACCCTGCACCTTGCAGGACTTGTCTTATTTTGCAAAGGCAGAAACGGAGACACCCCGCACCGCCTGCCCCCCCACCCCCCAAAGATTAAGTCCTTGCTAGAGAATGTGGGATAAGGCCGCGAGATGCTGTCCGTGGTGCTGAAACACCTTCTCATCGGCACCTTGGTCGCTATGCATTCCACAGGGAATACTGAACCCCACAAAGAAGTGAAAAGAGATAAAGAGAAATCAATAGTGCCCTGACCAGTTTGGCTCAGTGGATAGAGCATTGGCCTGCGGACTGAAGGGTCCCAGGTTCAATTCCGGTCAAGGGCATGTACCTGGGTTGCGGGCACATCCCCAGTGGGGGATGTGCAGGAGGCAGCTGATCGATGTCTCTCTCTCATCGATGTTTCTGAGTCTCTATCCCTCTCCCTTCCTCTCTGTAAAAAAAATCAGTAAAATATATTTTTTTAAAAAGAGAGATCAATAGTAATAACAGTACCCGTTCAGCTTTCTTTTTAAAAAATATATATTTTATTGAGTTTTTACAGAGAGGAAAGGAGAGGGATAGAGAGTTAGAAACATCGATGAGAGAAAAACATCGATCAGCTGCCTCCTGCACCCTCCCTACTGGGGATGTGCCCGCAACCAAGGTACATGCCCTTGACCAGAATCGAACCTGGGACCCTTCAGTCCGCAGGCTGACGCTCTATCCACTGAGCCAAACCGGTTAGGGCCCGTTCAGCTTTCTGAGTGTAGACTTTACATTTACCAGGCGTTTACTGAGTCTGTCTCCGTGCTGTGAACAGAACCACACACTGGCCCCCTCCTGGCCGTCCACTGATGTAGAGAGGAGGAAACCGAAGCCTGGAGAGGGGCAGAGGCTTGCCAGGGTCGCCCCGTGGGTCCCTATCAGATCTTGGATTGGAGTCCATCCGAGCTCTCCCTTCCCTTCCCAGCCTCCAGTTGTGGCCACCCCTCCCTTAATGACCCCAATTCTCTCTGACCCCCAGGCCCAACCAAGCGCAGTCCCCTGGGTCCTGGTTTGCTGTGGTGGGACCTCACTTCATCACAGACAGCATCAGTGGCTCCCAAGGAAGAAGTGGCCACCCAGGGTGACAGCTTGATGAAGGTCAGTCTCAGGGCGGGGCTCCCCAAATGGGGGAAGGGACAGTAACGTAGCTGTGAAGTAGCTTGGGGTGCTCTGGGCGTGGCCGTAACTCACGGGAATGACACGATGATCAGTCACTGTCTTTCTCCGCTTCTTGTTACCACCAGTGGAGAGACTCCGTTGGGAGGTGATGTATCTTCAACACGTTCTATTATCCCCTTTAACAAAGACTAAGCAGAAGTTCATAATTTTCATTAAGAAACAACAACAGTGTATCTGTTTTTACACTTACTTTCGGTCTATGGCAGGTGAAGCCGGTTTGCCTTTAGGGTATTGATAGAAGTCTCTCCTGAAAATAAAATTACTTAATTCAAAAGTGACTCAACACTGGCCGGTTTGGCTCAGCGGTTATAGCGTTGGCCTTGAAGTCAGAAAAGCCTCAGGTTCGATTCCCCATCAAGAGCACATACCTCGTACATGGTTGCAGGCTCAAGCCCAAGCCTTGGTTAGGGTGTGTGCGAGAGGCAATCGATGTGTCTCTCCTTCATAGATTTTTTCTCTCTCTCTCCCTCCTCCCTCCCCTCTCTCTCTAAAAAAAAAATCAATGGAAAAGAAGACGAATGAGGGTTAACAAAAAATAAAAACAGCCCAGCCAGCATAGCATGGCTCAGCAGTTGAGCAGTGACCTATGAACCAGGAGGTCACGGCTCGATTCCCAATCAGGGCATATGCCTGGGTTGTGGGCTCGATCCCTAGTGTGGGGCGTGCAGGAGGTAGCCGATCAATGATTCTCACTCATCACTGATGTTTCTGTCTCTCTCTCTCCCTCTCCCTTCCTCTCTGAAATCAATAAAAATATATTTTTTAAAAAGTGAGTCAACATGGAGATCATCTAACCTAAGGAAATGTGATGGGCTGGACAGCCTTTGCTCAAAGCCCCGTGGTTGCTATGTGAATGCCTTGAGTTTGGCAAACACTGTCCCTGAGGGGTCTGGTTCATGCCCTGCTTTGGATCCCCTGTTTCATTTCCTCATTTATTAAGCACTCACCGTACCAAGCCCACTGCCAGGCAGGAGCAGATAAAAACTAAGCTGAGAAAAGACTAGGGCCTTGGGCAGGGGGTGAGTGTTAGGAAGACAACTAAACAGGCTACTGCGTGGGGGTGGCCTCCTGAAGAGGGGACATGGATAGAGCCCACATGAGGAGGAAAGAAGCCAGCGGAGGAAGGGCGTCTCCATGGAGGGCACAGCAAGTGTGAAGGCCCTGAGGCTGGAATAGGTTTGACGAGAGGCGGGTGGGGGGAGGAATCTATTTGGCTGGAATGTTCTAAAGCTCCCTCCAGCTGCTGTGGGGAAATATTTTATTTTCTTGAAGGGTAACAGGCAGAGAGTCAGAGAGAGAATGGAGGCAGGCCTGCATGCAAGCATTGATGGCCTGGACTGTAGATGACATGGGCATGGGGGAGACAAGTGGATGGAGACTTTGGAGACCGAGGGAACTGGCTGAGGCGCTGGACAGGAGGACATTGTTGTTTTTTTTTTAAAATATATTTTATTGATCTTTTACAGAGAGGAAGGGAGAGAGATAGAGAGTCAGAAACATCGATGAGAGAGAAACATCGACCAGCCGCCTCCTGCACATCCCCCACCGGGGATGTGCCCGCAACCCAGGCACATGCCCTTAACCGGAATCGAACCTGGGACCCTTCAGTCCGCAGGCCGACGCTCTATCCACCGAGCCAAACCGGTTTCGGCAAGAGGATATTCTGTAACCCTGCCCAGGTTCCATCCTCCCAGGCCCCCGGCGTCCCCATCTGAGAGATGAGCTAACACAGAAAAAGGAATCTCTGAAGGGGTCTTTCTTTTCTCCTCTCCACAGGGGGCCGAGGAACTGCCTCCCAGCGCCAAGAGGCCTCCGGGCTTCCAGCCCACAAACGAGGACCAGCTGCTCTTCCTGGGGCAGAAGGAGGTGAATGGAACTAGCTCTGGCCCTTGGAACCCTGGCAGAGGACATAAGGGTGGCCGTGACCTGCGGGAGACAGACCTCTGAACCAGCCCAGGACTGGCCACCTGGAATGGAAACTCATGGGGCAGCCCCATCTCCAGTCAGCAGTTAGTCAGTCTTAGATGCTGTACCCCTGCCAGCACCCCCAAAATGAGGCCGGATTTTTCCATACCTACAATAAAAAGATGTTGGAATCCCCTCTGGAGAACATGGGAAACTTCCAGGTCCCACCTTAGGGTCAAAGAAAGACCCCAGCTCTTTCTGTGAGGTGCCTGAGCCTTAGCGAGGATTGTGGGGGTCCTCAGGCCCAGCCCCCCGGTACCTCATTTCGCAGGCAGGGGAGCGAGACCTGGAGAGGGGCAGGGAGGTGGCCACGGCGACAGAACAAACCAGAGACACAGTGAGAGGTGGACACTAGCCTTTCCTCCTTCACCTCTTCCTGTTTTCCTCCCTTTGAAGGGCCCGATGGTCCTTGGCCTCCGACCTTGGGAGCAGGGCGGGAGGAGGAAGGAGAAATAACGTTCCAGCTTTCCTCCTGCGTCTGGACACTTTCCCCATCTCATTCATGAAGAACCGTGAACCCACTTTGCAGAGGAAGAAACGGAAGCTCGGGGAGTTTGTCTGAGACCCCCCCCACCCCCCCCAAGTCCAGTCAGGCAGGGACAGGCCTGGGTGCTGCATGGTGCTCCATCGAGGACACGGTGTCCAGGGTCTGATCCACCCGGCGAGTGCACACCCCTGACTGTTGGCTGGAGACGACACCCACACATCAAATAAATGGACTCAGGCTTGATACCTCTGAGAAGTCATTGTGGCCTCAGCTCTCGAAGTCTGAGCACGGATCTCTGTGTCTCTAGCCCAACCCTGCAAGTGAATAAACCTGAGTCTTTAAATCACCAGAGAGAGGTGACCCCTCCCAGGTCAGGGTGCACGGTGCTGCCCTCCCTGACCCACAGCTCGTCTCCCCCCCTGGCTGCCCTTTGCACCCGGTTAGCCTCCTCAGTGTCCCTGCACCAGCCTCCCCCCGCACCCCCCCCCCGTCTCTGTGATCACGGGAGCTGGCTGCACTTGCCTCTGCCCACACACCTGCCATGGCTCCATGGCCCCCTGCTCACTGCCGATCGAGGCTGCCAGGTCCAATAGAGCCCCTGCCCCATTCGAGAGAGTTGGACACCAGCCTTTCCTAGCTGGTTTGGCTCAGTGGATAGAGCATTGGCCTGGGGACTGAAGGGTCTCAGGTTCGATTCTGGTCAAGGGCACGTACCTTGGTTTCAGGCTCCAGCCCTGGGATGCAGGAGGCAATCAATCGATGTGTCTCTCTCACACTGGTGTTTCCCTCTGTCTCTCCCTCTGCCTTCCACTCATTCTAAAAACCAATGGAAAAAATGTCCTCAAGTGAGGGATTTAAAAAAAAAGGAAGAAGAGGAGAAGAGACCCAGAGACATAAACACAAAGGGAGAGAGTCATGTGGACGTGGAGGCAGAGATGGAAGTGATGCTGCCACAAGCCTCCGAACTCAGGGGCCGCCAGAAATGAGAGAGGCAAGGAGGACCCCTCCCCTCGAGCCTTCAGAGGGAGCATGGCGCTGCCCACCCCTTGGTTTTGAACGTCTGGCCTCCAGAACTGAGAGAATACATTCTTATTGGTTTTAAGCTATGGCGGTGACAGCAAACCAAGGCAGTAGTCCCCGCTTATCTACGGTTTCACTTTCTAAGGTCAACTGGGGTCTGAAAACATTACATGGAAAATTCCAGAAGTAAATAATAAGGTTTTAAAAAATATTTTTATTGCCGAAACCGGTTTGGCTCAGTGGATAGAGCGTCGGCCTGCGGACTGAAGGGTCCCGGGTTCGATTCCAGTCGGGGGCATGTACCTGGGTTGCGGGCACATCCCCAGTGGGGAGTGTGCAGGAGGCAGCTGATCGATGTTTCTCTCTCTATTGATATTTAGAGAGAGAGGAAGAAGGAGAGAGAGAGAGAGAGAGAGAGAGAAACATCTATGTGAGAGCCGAATGTCGATCAGCTGCCTCCTGTATGCTCCCTACCAGGGATTGAGCCCACAACCTGCGCATGTGCCCTGACCCAGAATCGAACCGGCAGCCTTTCAGTGTATGGGCCAATGTCCAACCAACTGAGCCACACAAGCCAGGGACACAATTCACGTTTTCAATTACACACAGTTCTGAGTCACATCATGAAATCTCTGCTGTCCTGCTTGGTCTGACCCTGGCCATCCAATTTGGATATATTTTTTAAATTAATTAACTAATTGTGTTTTTTTATTGTTGACACTGTTACAGATTTCCCCCATTTCCTCCTCTTCGCCCCCTTCACCCAGCGCCACCCCACCCCCCAGGCCTCTGCCACATTATTGTCTGTGACCATGGACTGTGCATATATGTCCAATTTGGGTATCTCTAAGTTCCGTTTCATGCCTCATTGCTTTGGCTGGAACTGTTAATATGACATTGACAGAAATTTTTACAAAGCAGACATTCTTGATTTTAGACCTCAACTCACTGGGTGCCAGTAGCACCCTCCCCCAGTGCGACAACCAAACATGTCTCCAGACATTGCCCAGTGTCCTCTGAGGGCAAAACTGCCCCTGAGCGAGAACCCTGGTCTATGCCGACACAAGTACCTCCCCAGCTTTATAGTAAGACCTTGGCATTGTCCAAGGCCAGGGACTGCGAGCCCTGGGAGAATGCCACCTGACCCTGTCCAAGGACATGGGCCGGCGTGTACAGGGGGCACACTGGCGTTCAGAAGACCAAGGGGCTGGAGGTAACAAGTAGGGGGACATCCATAGGTCCATCGCAAGAGCCTGGAATATGGGACGTGGGGCTTTTAGGGGACAGCACACCAGGCTGGCAATTAAAAAAAATAATTCACTGGGGTTGGAGGGCTGCAGAGGATTCCAAGGGACAAGGTGCAAAAGCAAGTTGCTCAGCAATGCCCATAGTCAGGCGAAGGCCAGAATTTCTCAGCCTTGGTGCTATTGATATTTTGGGCTGAGTCATCCTCTATTGAGGGGCTATCCTGGGGATTGTAGGGTGTAGAGCAGCATCCCTGGCCTCCACTCACCAGGTGCCAGTAGCACACTCCCCTTCCCCAGCTATGACAACCAGAAATGCCTCCAGTATCAATGGGCAGTGTGTGTGTGCGTGTGTGTGTGTGTGTGTGTAGGGGGGCAGAGTCATCCCCAGTTGAGCACCACTATTCTTTTTTATTGTTAATCTTCACCTGAGGATATTTTTCCATTGACTTTCAGAGTAAGTGGAAGAGAGAGGGAAAGACAGAGAGAAACATCAATGTGAGAGAAACACATCAGTTGGTTGCCTTCTGCACGTGCCCAGACCAGAGCCTGGCCTGGGGAGGAGCCTGCAACCGAGGTACATGCCCTTGACCAGAATCGAACCCAGGACCCTTCAGTCCGCAGGCCAACGCTCTATCCACTCACCCAAACCAGCTAGCGCAAGCATCACTCTTCTACTAGTATGTGCAAAAAGAGTAGATGACATATGTATTCCAATGTATTGTTTCATTTTTGAGGTGATTCATTTTAAAAATTTTTTAAAATATGTTTTTATTGATTTGAGAGAGAGAGAGAAATGGGGAGGGATAGAGAGCCCAAAACCTGGGCATATGCCCTGATTAGGAATCGAATTGATGACCTCTTGGTTCATGGGTTGATATTCACAGAGGAAGGGAGAGGGAGAGGGAGAAAGAAACATCGATGATGAGAGAGAATCATTGATCGGCCATCTCCTGCACGCCCCCTACTCAGGATGCAGCCCACAACCTGGGCATGTGCCCTTGACCAGAATTCAACCCGGGACCCCTCAGTTCGCAGGCTGACTCTCTATCCACTGAGCCAAACCAGCTAGGGATAAAGTGATCCATTTTTATAATCTGAAGAATATTATAAAATGGTTGGCATTCCTTGATCATATACTGTGTGCCAAGTGGTTTACTCATATACTGGTAAAAGCGTCTATGTTTATTGAGCATCGACTCAGTAACAAGCACTTTTTGTAATTATTTTGGCTTATTTTTAATTAATATACATTTTTAGAGCAGTGTTAGGGTTACAGAAAGATTGAGCAGAAAGTTCAGAGAGCGCCCCCAGATCCCTCTCTCCCCCGCTCCCAGCTTCCCCTATTATTAACGTCTCTCATTAGTGTGGTACATGTGTTACAATTGATGAGTAAAGATCGGTGCATTATTATTAACTGAAGTCCACAGCTTACATTAGAATTCACTGTGTTGTACATTCTGTGGATTTTGACAAGTGCATAATGCCCACCGTTATGCTACCATACAGAATAGTTTTACGGCCTTAAAAATTCCCTGTTACATCTATACTGTATTCGTCTTGCCTTCAACCTCTATATCAGTTCTATCCATTTTGTTTGGTTTTTCTTTTTGATTTTTCTATTGATGATAGTATCATCTGGTCTCGATTCTTTTTCTTATTACATTGGCCCACACTTGCACATTAAGCATCTAATATTAGCTGTGATTGTGGGCACCCCTGCCCCATTCTGGAATACGGTATCCGTTGTTTCAACATCCAGTACAATGCAGACGGTTTCTTTTGAATCACAATCTTTGATGCGACTAATTTCTTCCTACTCCCCATTTACTAAGAACTTAAAACCAGGAATGGTTGCTGAATGCTGTCTGAGTTTTCTAGCACCGAGAGGTACTCATTTGGCCTTTTTCTCGTTTCTGTGTCCTCATGGAGTCAAGGAGCCTTTCTGCTGTTAAACGTTCCCGCCTCCTTGGAATAAAGCCCTGCGTGCCCCTGGTATGCTGTCCTTTAAAGCAGAGCTGAGCTCATATTGCAGGTGCCCAGGCTCCTGACCCTTTCCCGGCAGGTCCTTCCCCTGCAGCTGAGCTGACTCCCTCAGGGCGTGGGGGAGGGTCTGCTCAGATCTTCTGCAGGAGCTCCACCCGGCGACTTCAACTCCGCAGCTCCCAGAACTGCCCCTCCTCCAGGAGCCTGCTGGCCAGCCCTGCACCCTGCGCAGCTTCCTTATCCTGGTTGTTGTTGTTAATCCTCACTGGAGGGTATTTTTTTCCATTTATTTTTGTTGTTGTTAATCCTCACCCATTTTTTCCATTGATTTTTAGAGCGTGTGTAAGGGAGGGGGAGAGTGGAAGAGAGAAACATCAGTGTGAGAGAGACAGATCGATGGGTCGCCTCCCGCATGTGTCCTGCCCCGGGCCAGGGGATCGAGCCTGCAGTCGAGGTATGTGACCTTGACTGGAACCGAACCCATGACCCTCCAGGCTGACAGTCTAACCACTGAGCTACGCCAGTGAGGACCTCCTCTCCTTTTTTTAAAAAATTGATTTCAGAGAGAGGAAGGGAGAGAGAAACATCAATTATGAGAGAATCATTGATTGGCTGCCTCCTGCAGTTTGAGCCCATAACCCGGGCATGTGCCCTGACCAGGAATGGAACCGTGACCTCGTGGTTCATAGGTTGACACTCACCCACTGAGCCACATTTAGGCAGGCCTCCTTGCCTTATTTCACTGGTCCTCTACACCCCATCCCCCCCATCCTGTTGAATCATTCTCCTAAAGGGGGGAGGGGCCAGCCATACAGCTCCCCCTCACAGGCACACACCCCAGAGCCCTGGGCTTGTCCAGTGTCCCCTGATTTTGGTATCTCAGCTAACGCCAGACAGAGGCCACAAATTCTTTTTTTTAAATTTATTTATTTGAGAGAGAGTGAGCAAGCATTCATTGGTTGATTCTTCCATGTGCCCTGACTGGGGATGAAA